ACATATTTGATTCCCAGATGTAAAACTAAGTGGTATAAAACTAGTTTCATTCCTGTTGCCCTAAACTTCCAAAATTCAACTTAGCATAGCACCTGACCATTTTTAATTCAATTCAAAAATACTTTATTACAACTAAAGGGAAATTAAATGTTGTTGTTCCTCTTTGTACTCGTTTCATTAAATGATGCTATAGATGCTGATGGCTGTAGGCAGGAAGGATCTCTTGTAAATGGTTCGTACCACAGCGAACCATTTTCTGAAGAAAATGGCCACAGATCCCGTCCGATCCGTCCACCCAGACTCAGCTGGCCTCTGGTTCCTCCAGGCTGCAGGACCACTCGAATGCCGGGCAGATCTCCTCCCAGAGCCATAGCCACTCCTCCCAGCAGCTGCTGAGCTCCTCATCGCTGCGGACAGATGGCTGCAGGTGTCGGGGGATGATCCCGGTCCTTCTGCTGTCACAAGCCACGTTTCCCAGGACCTCCTGTTGACGTGAGGTTTTGCTGCCACGTCAGCGTGTTTGTTTATTTAAATAAATTATATTTATTGTACATCCTGGAGTCTTCAGTGTTCTGCCTGCACCACTGGGTTCAACCGTAAAGCACCTGACCATTTTTAATTAAATTCTGCACCACTGGGTTCAACCGTAAAACCTCAGTTTATGACACACAGCACACCAGGAGAGTTATTGGGCCTGATGAGTGAAAATAATGCACATTACCATGACACTATCACCCCCCCCCCCCCCTCGGTCTCATGTTTGCTAAAACATGGAGGAAAGTTGAAGTACAGCTTGAACAAACACACCCACTGATCTGTCCACATTAGTTCCACGGTCCACCCTCAGCCTCATACAAAGTGCAGCTTTCTGACGTACTGTAATCTGATCCCATAAAGAATAGAGCCACGCCAGAACAGGAAGTGGGTGTGTTTGTTAATATAAAGCAAAAACGACTGCAACTGCACCTTGGTGAAGTTCAGCAGAGTTCAGCTGAAAGTCTGGAACAATGTG